TCTCCTCTCCTTGTAAAGTGGAAATGAACATAGTGGCAGCTGCATAATATCTGCATTTAGCTTTCGGTTTGACAGTGATAAACATTGATGCAATTTGGTTAGGCATGTGAAATCTGGTACACTGATAGATTACACACGTTTACAAATGCTGTATTATATAGACCAGGCATGTCCAACACGTCGATTGCGGGACGAATTTTGGTCGATCTCATAGGCCTATGAGGAAATTATACGTGAAAAGTATGTAAATTCACTTGTAATATAATATGATTATATTCAGATTTTGATGGGAAAATACGTATTAGAAATTCCTATTTTTCTGTTCTTATGTAGCTTACGTGAAAACTGCTTTACGCTTGTGTTATGTGAACTTTGGGTAAGTCCCTAGTCTATCCTTATCACGTAAACTCCAATTTCATCCATCACTCGTCGTCAGTCGCATGTGTTCCAATGCAAGAGTGATCGACAGAACATGTGATTCACTTCGTTCCCTCCCTCCAGTCAACTGTGAATCCCCGTACGTATAAATAACAAGTGAGACAGACGCATTATTACATTAGCTGCTAGTGGAGATTTTTCGCTTCGCTGTGCATTAAACAAATATAGAGGTTGGGGATGAGCTCATTGTAATCAAACGGCGAGTAAGTGCTCTGCCCACGTTATTTTATTAATTTCGAAAGCGTCTGTGTGCGTGTTTCAGATAAAGCAGTTAGGCTACCTCAATATCCCGGGTCTGGTCAAGTGGGATTTGTGGTGGACAAAGTGGCGCTTGGGCAGGTTTTCTCCGAGTACTTCGGTTTCCCCTGCCAATCTTCATTCCACCAACTGCTCCACAATCACCCTTACCTATCATCTGGGGCTGGTACAATAGGCCAGAAGTGGCCGCAGTACAAGGGACTGAGTCCCAACCCACTAGCAATAAAAAAAAACCTCAATATAGTGGAAAATGCAACGCCTCAGTATCCTTGCCAAAAAAAAGGGTAATCTGGAACATCATTATAATGCTCTCCATAGCAATAAGTATGAGCTGGGTTTCCACCCAAAAGCGAAATTCGTAAACTTAAGATCAAACAACTTAAATCGAAATTAGGTGCTCAACAACAGTTGATGGCAAAACCAAGGTCACTTTCTAACAATGAAACCAAATCATCCTTCAAAGTCAGCAGTCTGATCGTTAAAAAATGCAAACCTTTCACTGAAGGGGAATTTGTAAAATAGCGTTTTCTTGAAATAGCTGATAATCTTTTTGAAGGATTTAAAAATATGAAAGAGATTCGAGATCTTCAGTTATCAAGAAACACCATTGTGCGGCGAATAGAAATGATGTGTGGAAACATAGCTGAACAGTTACTGAAAGATGTTTCCAATTGTGTTGCTGTCTCCTTCCAACTGGATGAATCTACAGACATCAGAGAGACAGCCCAGTTACTAGTTGCTTTTACAACAAACATCATGTGGTGTGTTATTTTTACCAATATTTTTGCTTAAAGCAAGGTACGACGATAGGAGGGGCAGGTAGATCACTGGAAGTTTTGACACTAAAAAGTCGATCACAACCTGTCTGAAGCTGGACATACCTGCTTTATAGCAACGTGTATTTCTGTATGTCACCCATGTGAAGCACGAATCTGCTACAAAGTTTCGGAGAAAATTCCGACGTAAATTTCGCGATGAAAGAGTTCTCAGCGGACAAACAATTCACAATTCGGTGAATAATCTTAGAACATGACCCTTAATAAACAAGAAACAAAAACATAAGCGTCGAGTGCTTACTGATAAGTTAGATGCCATAGGGGCCCCCCTTGAACACACACCTAGAAAATCACTGAAACGTCCAGCTAAAGAGCACAATTGCTGAAGCCATCCACTGAAAGTTTTGTGTCTGGTGTGCTTAAGTGCAATGATTGTTGTACCCGTGTTTTTAAAGAAAAAAATAATTGCAAAAAATACGTGTAGAGAGGGCAGCATTTTCAGCACCTTCTGTGATCTGTGAATTGTACCTACTTCACTTCGAACGTTATCGGCCGCCGTGAAGCGCAGAGTAGTGGACCCGGTCCACACACTGAAAGTCATCCCTGGATAAACGTTAATTACAGACCCATACCCAGCACATTACAAATAAAACATCCCAAGCAGCTGATGCTGAGGTGCTCTCAGTTATCATGCACGCATTCCTGGAACCTCCGTGAAACGTACAAACCGTCTCTTCAGCAAAGCGTCTGCGAAAATTTCGAGAATGCTCAGACCTAGCATTGATTTCGTCTGATTTATTCTTAGGTGGACACTTCGGCTTTCAGTTCGTCTCTCCCAGTCTTTCTTTTTCCGGAGGAAATAACGTTAAGCATAAAAGTCAATTTGGATAAACCAGATTCGAAGTCGGGACCTTCTGAATACAAAGATGGGGTGTTAACCAGTCAACTGCAACTTATATTCATGGATATTACATATAATTGCCACCTTCCCATTCATTACGAATTAACAGCTGGTTGTATTTTATTTCTTAGGGAAGAAATGTTAGGGTGTGACCCGAGCATACAGCTCCTACTCACTTCACTGCGTGCGCTTCATACTGCCCTCGTGATCATGCGTTACTTTTGATATAGAGTAACTGGCCTACATCTGTTACTTACAGTAGTGACACACAGAAAAATAAAATAAAATTATTATAGAAATATGGAAACGTCACCTAGGCACTAATTGTCTTCAATGCAACCTACGTCACTTCAAATAAACAAAATAAAGTTTCGATAAGATTCTGAGCATTTCTCGGAACAGATAAGAACTGTTTCCATGTTTACTTCATGACACCTGATGATATCATGGCCAAGCCCATCACTGCGAGCTGATACTGGGGAACTTGCGAAATAAAGACTACACAGCTGAGTGAAAGCACAGACACCTCTGCCAGAACAGTCTGCCAGCCTTCATTACTCTTGATTTCTTGTTCTGCAGTGAAATTAATGTGGCTCAAAAAACAATCTGAACTTAGAATTAGAATAGTAAAATAAGAAAAAAGTAAAGGTATCCCTGTAAGAGGCCCTGGAGGCCCACAGATTCGTGAGATGTTGGAGTTCCCACATTTTCTACACAATATCCCTGTAACAGGCTGTGGAGGCCCATAGGGTTGTGAGATGCTGAAGTTCCCACACTTTCTACACAATCGGCTCATATATGGCGGTAAGGTTGTCAGCCGCCCTTTACCCCCAAGAACCATTCCAAGAATAGAGTCTGAGTCGACCCCAGGGGCATAGTGTGGCCGGAAGGATTAGGTAATTGAAAGAAATCCACTGACCTCATCGGGATTCGATCCCGCGATCTTCCGGCTTGTAGCAAAGTGCTACACCAACTACGCTACCGGGATACAAATCATAACAGAGGAGGAAATTTCAAGCACTTATGTACGTACAATATATTGCCCATGGCGGTAGTCTTGTCCCTTGCTTAGGGGTTTATCCCTCACGGTTGCGAGTTCGAATCTCAAATTGGTCAAACACATTTATTAGTAAGCTGAACAACCTTACTCGTTTGGTCAAACACATTTATTAGTAAGCTGAACAACCTTATTCGTTTGAGCGTACACAATACGTGTACATCTACAGGTACACACAGAGAGTTTGTCGGCCGATTCACAACGTTCTTCTCCAGTAATAAATTCCACACACAAAATGGCTACTTTACTTCAACACAACACAGTATTATGTTAGTCAGCGCTGGAAAATGGCTAACTCCATCTTAAAAGGTGGTTGAGCTTACAGACAACAACTACAGTTCAGTGTCCTTCTCCTCTCCTCACAAAATTTGGTCATCCCATCTAACCGTGTCATAAGGAGCCAGTCAGTGCGTGAAACCCGTCTTGATAATCAAGAGGAAAGCTAATTTTGCAACTTCAGGTGAAGTGGGTCACATACATGTTGTACATGCATTTAGTTTCTCCTGTACCAAATGCAACAAAAGTCAAAACCAGAGATCAGGATAAACCAGGTGTAGCGGTGTGGCGGTCAAGTGGATGAGAATTTGGTAGGTCCCTGGTTAATCTCCGCAAAAAAAAAAAATCTCTTCTGACTTAGTTTTCATGGATTTTCCTCAGCCCCCTGACAAATTCCGGATCAATTAGGCAACGACCGGTTCCGACACCTTTTCCATTCCGTTATTCGGTATAATTATTCTAGCATTCGACTCTTCTTTTTTCAATGGCTCTTCCAGCCCATTCAGGGCCCTGGCCTCTTATTCAGTTCCGTAATCATTTTCCACATAAGGTAGGGACTCTTTGGACGAGTGAACAGCTCCTCGCAAGGCCTCTGCCTAACACAAGCAATGAATAAACCCATACACAAAACATCAATGCCTTAATTGGGATTCGAACCCACGATCTCTGCGTCCGAGCAAGCGAAGACAGTTCACACCTTAGACCGCGCGGCTACTGTGACCGCACTAGCAATCGACGCTATATGGTGTCAACTACCAACAGCGTGCTTAAATGAACCACTAAATAAACTGAATCATTACGCCTTGTATAATTTGAGATTCTTTCTGCTCTCTTCATCGAGCCGTTTTATTTTACATGTGCAATCTCCAAGCGGGCTTGCCTGCGGTACAGGCGTTTCAACATCGGCGGCGATAAGAAGGGGACTGACACGATTTTTTACGTCTGTTCCTTTTCGAGAAACTAAGAACCAACTATCAGGGATTCCGATTTTCTAAGTTCTTCCTGCGAATTCAGGAATAAAATCTTGAAATATGCCCTAATCGCTTCTTGTAACATACGCAACTATTCACCTTCTCAACAGTTCTCTCTTGTCATTCAGTATGGAACAACCTAACTGCATTTACGCCTAACAGTGCGTCACAAAGGAAAGAATATAGGGCAAAGCGGCTTCTCACACGTATTTTCACAAATGGCAATTATAATTTGTTATGAATGTAAACTGTGAGTTCAAGAGCCTGTATTGTTATACTGGTTTTGTATATGCTAAAATATAAGAAACAAAAATCCAGTGATTACCTTGGACATGGTTTCTTCATCAACATCTTGTTCGGGTATAGCCCAGTCAATCTGGATTTCATAATTCCATAACTGCAAGTGACCTGGGATCAGCTTCCTCCTCGCCATGGCAGCTGCACGGTGATTCTGAAATTCCACGAAAGCAAACCCACGGTTCTTCGTTTTATCCACAACACTACTGTACAATATCACATCCGTGATTCCTTCGACGTGCTTACTTAGTTCGTCTGCGATTTCCTGCTTACTTTTATTTTTCGGTAAGCCACCAACAAACAATCGGCAGTTGTCAACCGATTTCACAACGCCAATGTATCGCCTTGGTCTCACTTCATAGTTGTCGAGTTCTCTAATGGCTCTATCGGCTTCACGGGGGGTTGTGAACTGAATAAATGCAAACCCTCGATTAGACCCTGAAAAATCCATCATTAGGCGTACTTCATAGATGGTCCCAACCTTTTCGAAAATTGGAACCAATTCATCTTCGTATATATCTCTCGGCAATCTTCCTACGAACACTTCACTGCCTTTAGGTGGCGGTGGCCCTTTCCAATGGGGCGGAGGTCCGTATTTTCTCTGCCCATTAGTCTGCATAAAGCTATAGCCTGTCCTCCTGGCCATGGCTAGTAACCTGGTATTCACATCGTTTTGGAAGTCGCACTCACGTACACCGGCCATTTCAGCGCCAAATCTAGGAATCAACTGCACTCGCTCTTGCGTTCTGCACCTGAGTGACTGTGTACTATTGGACGAACCCCCTCCACCTCTTGAGGTGCTGCTAACCGGCAAGTTAAAACTGATTGGTTGACCGGATAACATGCTATAGCATCAGTAGTGACAACCCAAACACCTACTTTCTAGCACCATAATCATTTTGGGAGAGGGGAGGTGGACCAGGAAAGCACCTGTTATACCAACGCGCAGGCATGTAAGATCGGATTCAAATCACTTGACGTTTGACGAGAATGGAGTTGCTGCGGCGTTGCCAATTCGTCATTCCGCACACGTGGATGTAGTAGCAGCTGCGTTAGGAAACATCAAAACGGACTAAGTAGGAATAAAAGTGAACTATTTGGTAAGAATAAATTAATAAAATATTAACTGACTGTTTGTATGCTTTTTTTTTTCGAAAGTGTTTCTTTTATTGCTAGTGGGGTGGGACTAAGTCCCTTGTACTGCGGCCACTTCTGCCCTATTGTACCAGCCCCACATGACAGGTGAGGGTGATTGCGGAGCAATTGGTGGAATGAAGATTGTCACGGGAAACCGAAGTACTTGGAGAAAACCTGCCCCAGCGCCACTTTGTCCACCACAAATCCCACTTGACCAGACCCGGGATCGAACCCAGGCCGCCGCGATGGAAAGCCAGCGACTATGGCGCGGCCATTCCCTAAAGTGTTACTTTCACACAGTAGGGAATTAGCCTTTGTCACAATATTCGAAACGAGTTCAGAGTACAACATATTTTTGGAAGTTGTGTAGGTTTGTCGCTTTTTGGGAATGCTTATGTGTGTTCTGGGTCACACTAACACCTCGGTACCGTCTTTTTCCCCTTTTCCCCTTACATACGCGCGAAACAGGAAGGAGACCACTGGGAAGACCAAGGCGTAGGTGGGTGTACAGTATTAAAATGGATCTTAGAGAGATAGGATGGGATGGTATGGATTGGGTTGATCTGGCTCAGGATAGGGACCGGTGGAGGGCTCTTGTGAACACGGTAATGAACCTTCGAGTTCCATAAAATGCTGCGAAATTCTTGAGTAGCTGCAGATTTGGCTTCTCATCAAGAAGGGCTCAGCTCCGTGTGTAAGTAAGTAATACGCACGAAACAGTCGCCTGGCATACACAACGCGCTTCTGCTGTCAGGTCCTGCCACCTACAGAAACCCAGTCTGCTTCCTTATTTTTCAGCACTTGTTTGTGAAAAGAAATTATACACATTAAGGGCGCGGGCACGCCAAGGAAACTGGCAACCGCAAATTCCGAGAATTGTTATCAGCCTAAGTTGAACACTTGTTACCGAATGGAGCAGCGCAAATTGAGGAAACTGCGTTGCCGTTGCCAGTTTCCTTGGTATGCCCTCGCCCTAAAACTATTTTGCGAACGTTGCTACCTATGACTTTTACTTGGCTTCCTGAGCGACATCACACAGTTCGGCCTACCAAAGCTCACATTACTTGTCCCCATCTGAAAAGAAAACGACACGGCTTGAACAAGCCATTGCTATTAAGGGCCAAAGGCAAACTAATCAATTATAACGTTCCGTGGTCTTCGGATCCCCGTTTGTTTACATAACCGGTGGCCAGCTGGCATGAGTTCCGCGAAGTGTGGACGAGATAAATAAAGACGAAAGAGAGAATGTGACAACACCCGCGTTATCGGAGACATAATGCGCGCACATTTTAAGCCGACATAGATTTCTCAGGCAGCTAGAAACAAGCGACTGTGCCTTCTCGTACCTGTGCTTTATCGGTCAGCCAAAATCCGGCATGTGCTCTCCGAGATGTGTTACCAAATCGCGACTGTCTTGGATAAAGGCCCTAAAATGCTAACTGCTTGGGCGCGAAACGTGACCTTTGACTCTACACAATCAGAAAAACGAGGGCCTTCACCAAGTACAAGCCTCTTCTGGGTTCACGAAATGTTTGTCCGCGCGCGCATGATACTTGGTTTGAAGCGAGCAGCGGCGGGCTGCAACTTGGCAACATCACACGTCTCTTCCCGGCTAGTATTACAGGCACAGCGGCCAGGCGTCAAACTTCATGAGATTTTAATCCTGCTTTTATGTGTATCCAGCCAAAATATTTAAGGAAAAAGAGCTGACTTAAAAAGCTTCCTTAATTTCTTCAAAATATTGTCACGTGTTATGCTGGATGGCGAATTGGATTAATTGGCCACTTTACCAAACCACCCGGAGCTACCAGTAATTACAGCGCTATCGCTAATCTACACACTTTACAAATCACAGCAGCACCCGCTAAGTATTTTCCAGCCTGCTGTCTGCACCAGCCGTTCCCTAGCAGCGGCCTCTAATAATGGCGATTCTTCAACTTGCCACGCTCAGGTCCTTCTGTCACAGCCGCGCGTGCAGAACTCTTATTCAAATGCAAACTCAACTATAGCGCCATCTCTTCTCAGCCTCCCTTGCAGAGCTCAATTGATTGGACTGAGTCTGAGTCTGAGTCTTATGTTATGACCGACGGTCAGTCGGCCAGTCTGGCCTGGAATAAAGCACCCATTTGGGGCTTACCGTCAGATTTTTATTACTATCAGACAGTTGCGTTTTTTTTTATGCGGGGCGCTCTCTCTGACGAGAGGACGAGTCTGTCGTACACAATTGCTGCCAGCCATCGCCAGCTTAGTCTTTATCGGGTCCGAGTCCCGTGGGACTCGTGACCATATTATACTGTCTCAGGTTCGAGACTTCCCTTTTCGTCACCTCGTACGACTCTCAGAGGGTATTCGACGCCGCCTCCACACGGGGGTGAGTGGATTGCCCTAACTGTCTCTTTTTAACTCTTCGGCACGGACCACATAGATAATCCCCCCCGTTTCCATTGCAACTATACTGTTGTGTCTCGCTTCCGCGCGGGAATGTGTTTACCAAGCCGATGCTCAGAAACGGCCGTTTGTTTATTCGTCTATTGCATAGCAACGGTGTACTCGTTGTTTGTGTCGAGGTCTTTACCTAGCAACGGGTCTATACTCCACAATATTTTTCTGAATAATAACCGGCGCTAACGGGGCGTCTGCACACATAAATTAGATTTGGACGCCGGTCAGTATACAAGACGTTCAACTGAAGTAAATAGGCCGAATGGCGTAATACAAGCATATCCGCAATGCGAATACATATTTATGTATGTATATATGCGTTTATAAAACGTTCTCATGTTGATGCGTATATTCGTGCATAGAAAAGGTTAGGTCTACTGGACATGTAGCTCGCATGGGGGGAGTAAGGAAACATTTTTGAGCGGAAACCTCTTTAAAATGGCAGCTATGAATACTGAGGCATGTACTGGACAACAACAACAGACTATGCGTTGCTGAAGGGGACGCACCATAGCTCAAGCGGTTAGTCGCTGGCTTCCCACCGCGGAGGCCCGGGTTCGATCCCGGGACTGGTCAAGTGGGATTTGTGGTGGACAAAGTGGCACTGGGGCGGGTTTTCTCCGAGTACTTCGGTTTCCCCCTGCCAATCTTCATTCCACCAAATTCTCCATCATCATAATCACCCGGGGCACATACAAGAGGCCAATCAGTGTCCGCCGTGCCGAGTGGACCCAGTTGGACTCCACCCCCCCACTAAGCGAAAAAAATGCGTTGCTGAAGCAAACTATTACATGATTTTACATATCCCATCTACAAGGACATGAAGCCTCAGATGAGACTCGAAGATGATCCGCAATTTGTGAGTCGGGATGAGTTCGGAAGACGCCGTAACCAGTTCGCCTGAGAAGAAGAGGGAACAAGTTCTCGCTTATTCAACTGCAGGCAATGAAATCCTGTAGAGCAATCGGCCCTGTCATTGGAGTACAGGTAGAAAGCCTCCAAAATGTTGAATGCTTGATGTACACTGAAGAGGCTGGTAGCCAGACTATATGTTACTGAACTGAGAAAAATCGCGGAAAGCTTCTGTGTTGCCGGTATCCGGGCCGAATAACGAAATGGGTGAGTTCCGAATGCAAGTCAGGCGCCTTACTGCTTTCGGAACCATCTCTGTAGGATATCAAGGTGAATCAATGCGTTTTGATCATCTGAACAGGAGGGACTCACTCTAGATTGGATCCAGCCCCCCTCCACAAGGCTCAGCAACGTTGCCTATCATTTTCCGATGAACTATAATCCGACCGCTGTTTAATGACCCCTTGTATCAGAATTGAGGTTTGTCCACCTCGAAACAGCTTTGGCCGACAGTCACGGGGCAGGCCAGGCTCGTTATCAGATGTAAATTTTATCTGGGAACTTTGTTCCACTATCACAACTTTCCTGACTGCGTTTGGAGTTGTAATGATATGACAACAAAGCTACATTCGTCAGGAGTTTGTGTTGCTACGTCATATGCAGGCGACGCTGCTCCACTCTACAGTGTTTGGTTTCTGGATATATGGAACTCGAAGTTAATCATTTTTAGCCATATATTTTATTCCTAGTTTCTGCAAATATCATAAATTCTCCAAAATCTGTTTTCTTATTTTCCTGTCTAAGTGTGTTTTGAGAAAAGAAAGCAACTCGAAAAGGACATGTTACTCTAGACTGTGGTCTTGTGTAGTTTCGCAGGAGTTTGACGGCCTTCGCGAGTAACCAGCGCCTTAGAAAGATGATCCAGAACCTCGGTAACAATCTGCAACACTATACACTACTACCGTATTAATGAGGCTGTTAAATAGCTATCCGTATGGGGCACAGGCCTTCTTGCGAAGCTCGCTTAGTCAAGAAATATCCCACATTTTGTGGAACACGAAGGCTCATAACCGTGTTCACAAGAGTCCACCATCGATTCCAGTTCTGTGCGAAATGATCAGAACCGGATATACGCATATTCTAAGTTTGATTCCACTTGCAGACCCAAGCCAGTGGACATTCTCTTCCTTTTGGCGTTACAGCCTGACTTTGGGCCCTGGCCTACCTCCGTGAAACTCTCCGTTTCACTTCGGTTTACTAGATCTTACACATCCGGTAGGACTCCTTGGGCGGTTGAACAGCTCGTGGCAAGGCCTCTCTACCTGAACACAAACACAGAAACACACATATACACACACTAAACATCCAAGCC